AGCACTTAAAAGTCCATAGTAAAATAATAATACTCCACACATACTTAGCGCCTGAAACAATTTTTTTTTAACTTTAGTTATAAAAAAAGCAGAAATGATATAATAAAGAAGTTGCTGAACAATTAGACATTATTAAAATAAATAATGAAGTTCTACATTACTACTTAATTTTACTTTTTTTTTTAGTCGAATTTAAAAAAAAGGAATGTTAGAAGTATGAAATATTTTGTAATGTTATATGGATTATAAGACTTTTAAATTTTAATAAAAGATCAAATTAATGAGAGCTTAACTTGTTTATAGATAAAATCTATTCAAAGACTAAAATGAGAATGATACTGGGCAAAAATAAACTGAGGTTATATAAGTATGTTTTTAACTAAATACCAAATAACAGTTGACATTGGAAAGTCTATTATTATTAATTAAATGTTTGTAGACATTTTTATGAACTAGTTAATGAAATAACCTCTGTTGTATCTGACAAACTAATGTCACCATTGGAAAAATAGATGTTTTAACTAAATAATAATAGTTCAGACGATATTATAATACTTACAGTTTTCCGTCCATATCTGTCACTAATGTTGCCCCAAAATGTAGAACTTAACATCATTCCCAGAAAAACTACAGTTGTTGTTAGAGCTTGTTGATATCTGCACAAGAATATTGCCTCTGGTAATATTACTAATATTATTAGGAAAGTTTAGATGGATGGATGGATGTTTATTAGAGTTTGTAGCTTAAATTGTTGAATGGATCTCTTTAAAATTTGGTACAGATGTAGATGATAGTCTGGTAAAGCTAATCTTATTAACAAAATCAACTGCACATAGAACAGAATGAAGTTGATCATTGATTACACAACCATTGTAATATATCTAATCATATAAAGCTAAAACACTTCTAATATTCATTTATTTAGGCCAAAAATGTCGAAACTTATTTTTATTGTAAGTAAAAGCAAATAATACTTATTTTCATGTAATATAGACAAAAATTTATGTTTTTTTTTCTTTTTTAATCTATCATATCCATCGTAGCACTGAAATAACCATGAAGTATAAATTATTATAAATGCAATTATTTTAGATTTTATGTAAACATTCGCTTACTTGCTAATATTCCATTCACAATGCAGTGCTGGTGAGAGAATACTTAATATTGTCATTTCCATAGAGTCAGCCATCCAACATAATCCAGTGCAGAGGGACAGCTTTACTTGGAACCAGCCAAAGCCTAGAGCATTGACTGCTTGAGTCACTGTAAATGTATCTGTAATAAAAGGATTTTATACCACTCAATTTTTAAACCAATTAAAAATCATGGTCAATTGTAAAAACAAATCCATCTAGTTATAATTACGGTATGTATACACAGTATTTGTACATTTAATAAATGTTCGGCTTTCTAATCGAATACGTACCGTCTGGAACGACAGATACTGAAGCCATTTCGATTTCTTGCGGTGGTGGCATTTGTGCCATTGATATACTAGAATCTCCGACATTATCGTCTAGGTCTTGATATCCTCTAGCTCTTCTCATTCTCACGGCGTATTAAAACTATTGACGTGGAAAGCGTTTTAACGGTATTCCGTCGGTTGAATGATTTACTTGACCATTTCTATTTTTCAACTAGGCATACAAATAGTTGTTACCTAATTTTTTTTACTACTAAAAACCCGAATAGTAGTAAAATATTGTTTTAATTCTTGTAAAAACAATTATATTCACATTCTAAAGATCTAAACAAAACAACTAACTTCCAATCAGCATACGATGACATTGACATTGACAATGTCAACTGTCCATGTGACACTGCGTGACACTATTGGTAAAAGTTGCTATTCTCTTGGTATAGATGATTATCAAATTAGATTTTAAGAACTAATCAAATGGCCTGAAAATCATTAGTTCGAATGTCTCTTACCTACCTTATAATATCATTATTATCGTTGGTTAAATGTTGATTTAACCACATTGTTCATTGTCATCAAGTGAATAAGCTGAATAGTTTTTGAGATAGCTATTTCAACAGTGGTAGATGCCAAAGAGGATCTAATTGTACGTATTGGTCGAATGGCCTAGTCGTTAAGTGAAAGCAGTTCCGCATTTCGCTAGATGAGTGCGTGTGCCGGAGGCCTAATTTTCCGCTTTCCATTTGCACCTACTCTTATAAGGAAATAATGGGAAGGGGATGTAGATATGACGAAGGTGGGATTGGATAGGAAGGGAACATATCGTACGTAACTCAAAATGCTCAGAGGCGCCATCCTGTGAATATTAAAAAAGTGCCACAAGAGCCTTGTTGCACTATAAATAAAACAGCAGTCATCGTTAGATGTTAGCATATAATTTTTAACTCCCTTATAGGACATAACATTTTAAGAGTACCTTAAGATTCAGAGTTGCATCTAAAAGTATTGTTTTAATTTTTATAAATACAAAGTAAAAATATACTAATTCTCTTCTATACAAAATGTAAATCGACGGTAGGGTACGTAAGTACGTAAGTATTAAATTGATATTTTTGAGCCTGAGATTCATCATGATGCAAAAACTCATCCGAAATTAAAGTTAACATTGAGAGTTTCATGTCCTACGTATTTACAGTAAAAATGGGGCATTTCAAATGAAATTACAAACAAAAATCTAAAGAACTTTGAATGGAATGTATGAAATTAAATTGTATTTATGCAAACATTATTTCAGTACCTAGTAATACTTTTTATGGTTATTAATTACAGTATACGATTTACAATTTTTATAATCAAGCAACAAAACGTTCAAAAAGTTACGTCGCTTAAAGATATGTTAATTACACATATTATTTAATGTAAGTTTATAAAAATTACGTCGGAAAGTTACAATTTACATTTTACCAACAGCATTCGAAAAGCCTAATTATGAATTTAAGTTGAAAATCATTAGGAATCTTATGTTAATATTATAATTGAATTTAAAGATTTTATTTTAAATCAGAAGTACTGTTGGTAAAATATTACTACGTTTCGAGAACATGCGTATCTTAATGCGTAGAAAATATTTTTATGCAAAAGTTAAGTGGAAATATAGGAAGTTATTTATTTAAATTCAACAATAGTCTTAAAGACTTACTGTTTATTACAAAATATATTAGTCAAGAAGCGGTAAAGCTAAAATATCACTCAATCCTCTGCTCTCTGAGAGAATAACATTCTTATAATGAAAAGTGGATAGTTAGTATACCATGCTTTTTATGGCTTTGCTTTGCAAATGTTCGTATTGTCTTTTTAGACTAAAAAAAATATGTAGTTATATTATTTCTTAATCACAGTGTAAAATATAATTTTACATACATTTATATACAAAGTGGATTGTAAGCAAAAGCCTAATTTTCGTCATTGTAAAATATTTTTCTCTATTGAATTTTTACAACAAAAACTATTGTAATAACGTAAGTATTATAGTGTGACACAGAGAATATCAATACAACTCGAGAGAGTATTTTTCTATCTAAATCTTAATAGTATTTTATATTTACAAACGCACATATGTGCGACACAAAGCTGCCGTTTGAAGGGAACTTCTTATATTTGAAAAGTAAGTTATAATTGCATATTACCTAAACAATCCATCCATTTAATGGAGTTATAGTCACATTTTGTACGATCATTTACACACTCTATACTATCATACGCACATTATGAAATCTAGTAAAGAATCGAAAAGAATTGATATAGATACGGATTATTTTGTAGAAATTACGACCCTACTACGTTATGATTGAATGAATTCAATAGAAAATAGATATCTTAATTACGTAATTGTAAACAATCCAGAATTGGACGATAAGAATATACAAATCAAGGAAGATAGACCGTATTTCGTCGTATTGTTTGGCGAATATATTGTTATCTAATTTTTTTTGGGTTTTGATTTCACAAGTCGCGATTGTATCAGGTCGCCGTTGCTATAAATATCTATAAGTCTACGTTAATATTCAGTCTCATGGTTGTTGGCGGTTAGCAGATGGGTGAATTTATGTTGAAATGCGATGTTTTAGGCCTCGAAGCTCCACCACCAGATCGGAATCCCCCGCCACGAAACGTTTTTCAATTCTTCGCCCTTTCGTCGCTTTCTGTACATAAAAAGACAAATGTTCAAATAGTGAATGATTTCATTCATACACGTATAGTTATATAACGTCGAAGCTTTGAGCTTTTAGGTTATATTGGTTCCATGCACCCCCACCCCCGAGTGACCCGGCCTCCGCGGCACCGTGTCACCCGCCACCCCCTGCCCCCGGCCCGGACAAGTTATTTTTAGACTTCGGGCTTCACAATCTGGATATATAAAATCTATACTTTACTTAGTGACGCCATTAAACGTTTATTCTTTTATAAAGCGATAGAAGGCTGATTTTTACTTACATGTGATTTATTTTCCAGCAATTGCGTTATAGTCTGGTAGTATGGGGAGTTTCTCTTCTCGTGCAAAAACTGATGGACTCTGTTGTTTGTTTTCGCTGGTCTTGGGACTGCTACTTCCTTTTGGCCAACATTGGATTCTTCCGTAGTAGGGGGTCGGCTAGTTGTGACGCTCCTTTTGTTTCCATTCCAGTTGATAAAGCCATCATCAGCTGGATAGTCATCGTCTTCGTATTTCGGTGCTGTTTTAGGGACATGGTAAAGTGGTTTGCCAGCTAGAGCTTTAAGTTCTCTCACATCTTCATCTTCGTTGTCCTTATCCTCATAGTCAACGTTAGAGAAAGCAGCTCGAGCATTTTCACGACGTCTTTGAGCGTCTTGAGCCATTTGTGTTAGAATTAAATTATCCAAGAAGGCTGCATTGACGTCATCCATGTCGCTCGATCGCCAACGTGGGCTGCTATCGCTTTCGAACCACGTCTCCTGTCCAATGGGAAGTGATGCTAATCTTTCATCCTGTCTCTCCGGTGCTTCATTGGCGAAGTTGGGGTATGGGTCGTAGTAGTAAGAATAAGGTATTTGTCCATAAACTTCGGGAGTGTTCATTGCAGGCGCATCGTAATAATATTGTACTTTGGGTGCATAGTAATAATCATCGTCCTGATACTCTCGGGGCGTTTGTGGATACATCGGCCAACCTTGCATAGGATATGCCGACGCTTGTATTATTAGGTAGCCAAGTAATGCTACCCATGATCTATAACAATTTAGATGATTAAAATTTAATCTAGGAGCATTAAAAAATCTTGCAATTAATATGAGTATTTTTGAAAAGTAGTATCTATATAATTTTATCTAAATATTGATTTAAATTTTAAAATTAAATTTAATCACTTTCAAATAAAAAATCGATATACTTAATTACTTTGAATATCATAGTAATAAAATTTACAAATTTAGAAAAAAAAAAATCACTCTTAAAACCAATTAATTTTAGAATCCCTATGAAAATATTAAATTTAACAATACTCACTTCCAACCGGACTTTAGTAGGTTGCACATTTTGCACTTAGTATGTGAATAGGAACGCGTTCAGGGCACAACTACGGCGCAAACCGGGCTGGAGGGCTTTATAAGCTGGTCGCCCACGCACGCCGCCCACTCGTTCTCAATGAACGTCTCCCTCTACGTTCACCCCCGGCCTTTACCTACCCCCTACTCACCCCACCAGTCTCCACTTCCCCGACCACCCCTAGAGCTTCAGCCGCGCGCCACACAGGTATCGATCGCGTCCACAGATTATTCATCTCGCTAACGTACCAACGTATCCATTATACAGAAACAATGCTGAGATTCAAAACTGATAGACGTTATCATTGTCAACTAAATCTACTTTAAGTGAGGTCCACTAACACTTACTTCTGACTTTTTTTTTCTCATCTCAGTACTAATTTCCATTATGGTCTTGACATGTAGATCCTTTACACAATTTTAGTCATGGAACAAATCTCCACATTCGCATCTGAACTTCATCTTGTTGGATGCCATACTCCTCTCATCATTGTTGAATATCATCAGCTCATCAGCTAAAATAAATGCTGTTAATTCTGTCGTTAGTAATTTTAATTCTTCACGGAAAGTGATATCCTGAAACACACCTTAGATATAAGAAAAAATAAGAAATCTTCGTCTGTTATTTCGCAGTATTCTGATAAAAGAATAAAAAAATATTGTTGAACTTAAGTCTTCTACAACTTATGTAAATGACATGGAATAGAGGTTCTTGTTATAAATAAAAAATAAAGCAAATACTTTTAAACAGCACAAAAATAATGTTATCTTAAATAAAATATTTTATATAAAGTATATGTTTGGTTTTAAAAAAGTAATAAAAAAGTTTAGTCATAACGTTTGTGGGTTGACATATTATAGTAGGGTGACGAGCACAGCGTGGGTTTCTTAATTGTACCACCCTTCGTTCATATTTCGAAAGCTCGTGGGTAGAGCCTTGAAGCTATTCACTAGAATTTGTATTACTCTTTTTCATGTTAAAATAACACTTTTCAGTGGTATGACAAATTATGTTCTGGGCTGACGAAATGTTGCGAAATATTATAAGTGGCAAAACCTTTTTAGTTAGGGGAAATCAGAAAGGCATATAATAAAAAACGATTACTCTTTCTGGAATTAATATAATCAAAAATAAGTTTATAAGCATTTATATTTGTACAACATAATCGTTTAAAATAACTATAACACTAAAAAGTCACGGTTATTCCTAAAAGTTTTCTTAGAACTGGACTTTTGTAATAAATTGAAAGGAAATAATGTTGTTTTGACTACCAAGTCGCCATTGAATTAAGTACCGCTAACTCGGACTGTTTATTTGTGTATTTTTCTACATCTGACGTCATCCTAATAGTTATACCATTTTAGCTCGTTTCTTAAATTTATAATATTATTGTTTTGAAAGAATTCTTTAAATATGTCAAGAGAAACATACAACGCGAAAAAATGAGATCAATTTTGTAACGAAAAATCAAGATTAAGTTGCACGTTGACATTAAATTTTGACTTTGAAATGTATTTCTTAACATTCAAAGTTCTCCTAATACACAAAATATACGAATGTATTACTATATTTTCATACAGTATAGTAGGATTTAGTTACATTGAAAATGAATTTCTTGTTAATCCACAAGCTTATAATTCTCTTCAAATTCTCTCCGATTTCAAAGTTTATAATTACTTTCTTTGTCTACAAATTAACTTTCCGCAAGTTTGCACAAGTTTGCACAAGTTTTGCGGTTACATGGCTTCCCTCGATGGGGTAGGTCATGGGTGGGTTAAGCTGTGGAGGGGTGGGTAGCTGCATTTCGGCGGAGTCGCAATGCATTTTCAGGTTCGATTTCGGCAAACGTAGTCACAAACACGGGGTCGATGGCCTTCTGCCGTCCCTGCGACGCCATTGCAAGTCAATACCGAAAAGTATTAGTATTTCAAATTGTAGAGAAGTTATGCAATATGAAACTAGAAAATTGCTAGTGTGATGAAGTGATGATTGTTAGTCTATGGTCGTTTCGGATAAAACTTAAGCAACATTAACAGTCAGTCAACATTGTACAAATCTGATAGCTTACTGTAAATTTAAACTGTGTTAAAAGTTTGTTTACACTGCCGCAACCTTTGTATAGTAACTAATTATTCTCAACACATCTCTATCCCTACATAAGAATCCTTAAAAAATTCTGTTATGTCAAATTAACATTTCTGTCCTCATTTAAAATTGTAATTTTAAAGTTAGAAAAATCTTCGTTCATTTTCTCCTAGAATATTCTCTTTAACAGATCGCTATAACAAGTTCTATTTACGGGGAAAATCTTGTGTTTTCATGATATTTTCATTCCCTAGATTCTCTACACGCGCAGCTGTGATTACATAAAGCGAGCTTCAGACACTCGTGTAGAAAGGTACAGGAAATGTTTTATGCGCAGTTCAATCACGAGCTTTTAAGAAAAATTACAAAGTATTATAAATATGAACAAATCGTCCGATACAAATATTAATTTTATTCAAAAGAAATTCACTATAACAGTTTAGAAAAAGATTAATAAAACTTAAAAAGGGAGTGATGACTGAGATGACGTATGATAGTTATGTGGAGGACAAAAACCTGTTGCGCCGACCCTACGGGAGTAGGAGAAGGAGATGATGATGATTAATAAAACTTATTAATTAGCTACAAAAATATAACTTTATGATTAGCTACAAGCTTAAGCTAGTTTTTAAAAGTAACATTAAAATTGCTAATATGAATACACTCTATTACTTTGATATTAAATTCTTTAAAATATCAAAGAAGGTAAATAATTCGATAGAGTGAATATCCTGTTACGAAATCTGAAACTATAAGGATGTAAACATTCGATAGTTTACTTGACAGTAAATTGCCAACCCCAAGGCGTTTATATTCAATATCCTTCAAAGGATATCTTAGAGTAAGTTGAAACTTCTCGTTATCAATAATTGGATATCAGATTTCATTCACCAATCTTTAAATTGAATTTATATATTTGTGAAAAACTCTTAACTACACATGTATTATATTGAAAACATTCTATAACTACATTTAAAAATCTGTATTGTGAATTAGTTCTAAATCTCATATGTAAGTAAGAAATCTATTTAAAATCTACAACTTGGTTATATGTAGATGAGGAACCTAGATCTGAGTGATCTGGGAATATTTTAGGTCATATCGCTACGTCTCTTTCCAATTCAGTATTTCTGTCTCTGAGAGCGTAGGAGGTAGCTGAGTCTATTTTTAGCCGGGGCTTGTATTCCAGTCGTTTCTAAAATTATTTGCACATTTATCAATATATTGACGTGTCTACTATTAAATATGGACCGAAGATGATAACTACTTGGTAATTCTATTGAAGAACATTTTAAAAGGGTACCTTTACTTTTCTCTTAAAATATTTATAATGACAATAGCAATATTGACTATATTTATCTCACCAATTTATGAAATTAAGAATTTAAGAAACTATTTAATATGTAATTAAATAAAGCTAAATTGATACGTTTGCATTTTAAATGCTAATAAAAATAAGTAAGGAAAATGAATCATAAAATATGACTCTGTCTTACGTCCACATTTAATGATTTTAGAACTCCCTTAGTGGATAGTATGTGTAATCTATGTCAAGAGGCTCTATTAGTGACTATTTAACGAATCTCGGCTGTAAGTGCTATTTCCTTTTCTCGCAAAAAATATACGAATACGCTATGTATCATTTATCAAATTCTGTTTACGTCAATACGACTAGACGTGGAGTATAAACATATAGCACAGCTTTCGTGTATTTGTTCGTCCTCTTCCTCCCACTTTACTCCTCCTCAGAAATCAATAGATTCCAGTAAACATATGTCAAAGTTCACATTCAAATTACTCCTACTCGTGCTCTATTATTTTTATGAATACTGAGCTAATAATAAGTGTTCATATTTCAAAAACTTTTTATAGTGAACTTAATGGCACGATATTTTAAAATACTCTTACGTTTATAGGAACACCGTATAGAACCATATATGAACACCATATGAGGATAGTATCTGAAGATAGCTTCTTCGAATACTATTCTCATTCAAATATTTCATACAAAAATATAGAAATAACACAATTAACACTATTAACCCCTTTTATAATCTACAGTTAAGCAGAGTTTACAGATTTTCATTTAGCGCAACATATCTCTCGATTCTTGAATATTCATACATCTACGTAGCAATGCTTGTTACATTTTACAAATAAACAAACTCAGTAATGAAATAGTCTTCATTGTTTATACTATATATATTTTTTGTAAAGCAACTTATTAGATTCCCATTGATAGGATTTGTTTATATGGGTTAAATTCTAGAATTTTCCTCTTTACTTTAAGGTAGACTATTTCTTCAACTCTACAAGTTAACATTTCATTCAAATCATATGTAATTCAAATATCATGAGATATGGAATTACGTAATATGTGCATATACTATGTTAATATAGGTACAGAATCAAGCTGATCTAGGCATTCGTTTCATTCATGAATGTAAGTCCTTACGTCAGTAGTCACCCCCCGTGTGGGGGCGCGGTCCCCCTCTCGGCCGACCATTGCGCAGATACTGGAGGGGCGAGTGACGTCAATTCTATGCAACAAGTGTTCCTACAAAAGTGTTAGCACGAATACAATTCTATTTTTAACTGACCGAAAAAAGCTCACGTACATGACTGAAAAGCTGTAACTCCTTTGTTCTGAATAAAATAAAGGCTAAAGCTAAGTAATTTGAACATTTAATGTTAAAAGAATTATTCAACGAAAGTCTTCATTGTTGTATGAAATAATCATTAACATGAAAGATCTTTTAAAAGTTTATTGATTTTTACAAATCACAAGAAAGTTTTAAATAACAATATATACCTATAATATCATAAACTTATCATAAAAAAAAACTAAGAACCGGAAAGAAAACAATTACAGTGAAAGTAAATTTGTAAATATATGATGGCAGACTTGCATAGACATGTTTTTATTTTGTATGGT